CTTCTTGTAAAAATGTTTGCAAGAAGACTGTATACTTTAATGATGATGATATAATCCTGCCTGGAGTCGGGCTTTAAATTCCACCAGTAAAATAGTGCATTTCCTGACATGTGACTGTGCCTAGGCACTCCTGTTTATCTGCAGTGTGAGATCCTCTAAAGCACTTCTGCCTGTGACTGCTAGTCTGAGGAGATTGGGGATGTCACTAATATGCTGCTCACTGTAATCCCCTTGTGCTGTCCGGAGAGATCTGCTTCCGAATGATTCATTTATTCTGTGACTCTGTACTTTCTCTCTCCCTCTACCGCTGCTTCTTCATAAACGCATGAGCAATCAGAAAGCAAAGCCCTGTTTCTCTGCCAAGATGGCAGCAGAGGCACAGTGTGCAGCATAGCAAGTCCGTAATTGGGAAAAAAAATCAGCTGGAGGGAGCCTACAGGCCTTACCCTCTGCTTGCTTTTTTTTTTTTGTGGGGGGTCCATCTTCCATAGTACCTGTCCTATGTGAAGTATAATTGTCACAAGAGAAGCACAGAGCCTGCTATTGCTGGCTTCCTTCTGAGAATGATGGTTGATTTCAATGTGTATAAGTCTCTGATTAACAACCAGCATGCAGCGGAGGACAGAGGATAGTCACTATTGCTCCTCTCTATGCCTGTTGCATCAGTGACCTAGAATGTATTGAAGCCAAGGCATCAGGGCTGGAACAACTAATCCATAAAATCGATTGGTTGATTCGATTAGTTGAAAGCTGCCGCTCTGCTCCCTTGTTCTCTTCCCCGCCGGTGCCAGCTGCAGTGGTCTGTGTCCCTGTCATTTCCAGCTTCTCTCCCCGCATATCGGCAGAGGCAGCGGTGCCATTCATTTCAATGGCATCCTGAATGCACCTCCCATCTGCAGTGTGATCGCCTGTGCTGGAACGTGCGGTAATGCAATTTCCTGCGTTCCAGTGCGATTTCCAAAAAAGTTGTATTCTGAAGTAAACTTTGTACCACTGCATTTGTGTATTTTATTTTAAATAAATAATTTTGTGGTTTTTTTTATTTGGTTAATCAGCAAAAATAATTGGCCAACTAATCTATTATGAAAATTAGGGATGTTCCGATACTAGTATCAATACCGAGTATTTGGGTGAGCACTCGTACTTGCCCAAATGCTCCGATACCTTCCCCGATACCGGACCTTGTGGTCAAAGGAAGATTTCCTCTGACCAGCAGTGGCATAGCGCAGTGCTCCCCAACCTTTTTATCGCCGCGGACCGGTCAACGTTTGATCGTGATTGGACGGGAAATCGGTTTCCCAGCCAATCAAGCCGACAAAACATCATGGAGCCGGGCTTTCTAGGCAATCAATAAGCCGGGTGGCATGTCATTGCCTGTAAATCTGGCTCCATGCCAGCGGAAGCACCAGTATCGGTATTCTGTCTGTATCGGCGAATACCGAAAGCAGAATATCGGTACTCTACCGAAAAACC